AACAAATTATTAGTGTTGAGCAAGTAATCTGCATGTTTCGTTTCTTCCCTCCCCATGTCGGCAAAAGTATCTGCATGTTTCGTTTCTTCCCTCTCCATGTCGGCAAAAGTATATTTTTAGTCTTTTATTTTATTAGATTTGTAAATTTTAACACTTTACCTTATATTATAATACTTTTAGCTATTACCTATTAAACTTGAAGAAAATAGTCCTTAGTTATAACATTTTATAAATTCTGTTAGTTAACTGTTAACTCTGTTAATTGACTGTTAACTTTATTGGTTGATTATTAACTGACAAAAATATATTTTCAGTTAACAGAATTAACAGTTAGTTAACAGAACTATTTTGTTAGTTGACTATTAACTCTATTAATTGATTATTAGCTGATTATTAACTAGTAAAAATCTATTTTTAACTAGCAGAATTAACATTTAGTTAACGGAATTAATGAAATATTATAAAGTGAATGCTACTTTCTTCAATTTTAATAAATGAGAGACTAAAAATATTATAATATAAGTTAAGAGACTAAAACTTACAAATATAATAAAGTAAAGAGTTAGACTTAGGTTTTTGCCCCCATGTTAACATAATGGTTTTTCCAGTGTAAAAAGGTCCATAATCGAACGATTTGGCATATTGGTTTATATATAATCGAACGGTTTGGCGTCAAAATTGCCCCCCATGTAAGGACATTGGCATGTCCAGTATAAAAAGGTCAATAAATAACAGAACGATTTGGCGGTCAAAATCGATCGAGTCGCGCGATTGTGGACATTCGATATTTCGATCTCCCCTGAACGAATAATAAAATATATATTGTGGGTCCACCTTCACTTCTCCTATAAAATAGGTGGACCTGGATCCTTCGAATCATGTTAAAGGCATTTACCAAATTGAGAGAGGGGCAGAGCAGCTAAACATGGAGGAGCAGCTTAACCGGACCGAGGCAGAGGTGGGGAGAATGAGGGCAGAAGCTAGCCGCATGAGAGAGGAACTGACAGAAACGGAAGCTGCTGCTCAAGACATGCAAAATGAACTTCAATTGGAAAGCATAACACTCGATGGACTCATTGCCGATTTGGTGCTCATGCAACAAGCAGAACAGGCTCTCCTGGAGATTCTGTTCCCACAAAACTAAAACCACGAGTTTCAAACAATGTTTGGTTCCTCCCTTCGCATCTTATTAATTTCTTAGACAATAAAATTATCTGGAATAGTCATTCTATTGAACCAAAACAGTCTTATTGTTATGATTATGTTAAAAATGAAATTAATCCTTTTGAATATTTTTGTTTTTTTCTCGTACATGGGGATGTCTTCTTCAAATTCTCCTCTTTGTCCTTGGGTTGTTGAATCTAAAATTAGTATGTTAATGTGAGAGAAATGACAGGAGGGGAGAGAAAATTCCTAATCAAATTTAATTAGGCTAAAAGTTTTCTTTTCTTTCATTTTTTTTATATTAATTTTTTGATATTTAATAATCATATTAAATTATGATTAATTTAAAATCGAGTTACGTCAAATCTCATTAGAAAATTTTTTTTAATATTTATTTTTTTATTTATAAAAATTAAATTTAAAATTTTATTTTAAAAAAATTAAATTCTTTCTACTTCTATAAATAGTTGTAGAAAGGGTAAAATAAGACTCTCAATAAAAAATGCATTGACTTGTCTGGCATTAACAAATGGGGATAATGATTTGCGGGACGAAAGTGAGGAACGAAAATGGGAGCCGACAAGTGAAGACAAGTGAAGTTGGTTAAATTACAAAATTACTCATTTAACTAACTTCACTTGTCGGCTCCCATTTTCATTCCCCACTTTCGTTCCACAAATCATTATCCTAACAAATGGTAGTCACAATAACCGACCCTACCAAATTAAACAACAATAAAAAAAACAGAAACAAAGATTCCTGATGGAATCTTGAGAGATGAGGCACGTGTACTGAGTTGACATGCTCACCTCACATGGTACTGTCCCACTCCCATAATCACAACACAATAATTCTCATTTTTAATTAAAATTTTATATTTTATTTCTTACTATTGTTTTTTCAACTTAAATGTAGATAAATAGTATATTTTTTAAGATAAAAGGAAAAATTAGTACATCTTTTACGGTAAAGATATTTAATAATAATAATTTGATAAATAAGATAAATTAAAATTTGTAATATATATTATATATTCAACAATTGTAATTAATTATATTAATATTTTTAATATTAAAATATTTTAATTTTTTTATTTTTAAAAAAAACTTTTAACTTTATTCTTATCATTAAATTTTAATTATATATTTTAATTAAAGAAAATAAAAAAAATAAAATTTTTTTAATCAATTAAATTATAATATTTTTAAAATACTATAATTTAATCAATTAAAAATCTTCGTTTTTCTTGTGTTCCCCTTAAGTCAAATATATTTAATTCTTGCTTCATCTGTTTTAGAATTAAAGTCATTTTTTAACCTTTCTCCTAAATTATGTTTTCACATATATTATTATAAAGATAAAGATAAACACTACTCTTTTTTTTCTTTTTTTTTGGATGCGTTGAGAATATTTTATATCATTGATTAGTGATCATAACCATCCTTGTCACAGATTAACAGATTATGAACTCATCTTGCGCATATAGCTGGTCCAAGGAGTCAAAGACCTTACGCTGTGACCCATGAGCCAGACCAAGTTTTGTTGGTTCATTGGTGATATATATATATATATATATATATATTGATGAGTTCTATTCAAGAATTTTATTGGATGATAATTATAAAATAAAGAATAATCTTCTCATTCTTAAATTGTTTTTTTATCCATCTTAAAATTTAAAATTAAAATCTTTAAAATAAAAATTTTAATTTTTAACCATGGAGACATCTTTTAAGGATTGTTTTCTTTACTAATGATATTGTATTCTTGAGGTTTGTATTGGAATTTATAGGTGTGAGAGTACAGAAGGTGGCAATATTGTGGTTCATAGTCTTGTATCTGTTCAATTGGAATACTGATTTTACCTTTCTTTGATCTGAATTAATCTATGAAAGATGTATCATATTACATAAATCTAAATCTAATAAAAACATGACTCAAGGTAGTGGGATTTCTTAAAGAAGTTTGAACTGGTCTAAGGATCAAGGATTCAGCTTTCAACACTTATATTGTAATATTTTTTTTTAATTTTCATTTTTTCCTTATCTTTTCTATATTTAGATTTTTATTAATCTATGAAAAATGTGTCATATTGCATATATCTAAATCTAATAAAAACATGACTCAAGGTCATGGGATTTCCCAAAGAAGTTTGAACTGGTCTAAGGGTCAAGGATTCAACTTTCAACACCTATATTGTAATATATATATTTTTTAATTTTCCTTTTTTTCCCTTATCTTTTCTATATTTAGATTTTTATTAATCTATGAAAGATGTATCATATTGCATATACCTAAATCTAATAAAAACATGACTCAAGGTCATGGGATTTCCCAAAGAAGTTTGAACTGGTCTAAGGGTTGAGGATTCAACTTTCAACACTTATATTGTAATATATATTTTTTTAAATTTTTATTTTTTCCTTATCTTTTTTATATTTAGATTTTTATTAATCTATGAAAGATGTATCATATTGCATATATCTAAATCTAATAAAAACATGACTTAAGGTTGTGGGATTTCCCAAAGAAGTTTGAACTGGTCTAAGGGAAGGATTCAACTTTCAACACCTATATTGTAATATATGTTTTTTTTAATTTTCATTTTTTCCCTTATCTTTTCTATATTTAGATTTTTATTAATTTATGAAAGATGTATCATATTGCATATATCTAAATCTAATAAAAACATAACTCAAGGTCGTGGGATTTCCCAAAGAAGTTTGAATTGGTCTAAGGGTCAAGGATTCAACTTTCAACACTTATATTGTAATATATTTTTTTTTAATTTTCCTTTTTTCCCTTATCTTTTCTATATTTAGATTTTTATTAATCTATGAAAGATGTATCATATTGCGTATATCTAAATATAATAAAAACATGACTCAAGGTAGTGGGATTTCTCAAAGAAGTTTGAATTGGTCCAAGGGTCAAGGATTCAACTTTCAACATTTATATTGTAATTTTTTTTTTAATTGTCATTTTTTCCTTATCTTTTCTATATTTAGATTTTTATTAATCTATGAAAGATGTATCATTTTGCATATATCTAAATTTAATAAAAACATGACTCAAAGTAGTGGGATTTTCCAAAGAAGTTTGAACTGTTCTAAAGGTTAAGGATTTAACTTTCAACATTTATATTGTATTTTATATTTTTTTAAAATTTTCATTTTTTTCCTTATCTTTTCTATATTTAGATTTTTATAAATCGTGCATTAGACACTAATTCAATTAACAAGCCATCATCGTGCAATTAACTTTGTGAAAACAAAATTCTTCTATTGTTATTATAAGCTAGTTTATAACAACAACTACAAATGACACAAAAATTCACTCATAAACATGATATATATATATATATATATATTTTTGGAAAAACCAAAAAAATTAAAAAATGTTTTATTATTTAGAGGACAATGGGTGGTGCTTGATCCCATTTACATCGTTAAAGTATGATATTTTGTTATAATTTTTTAATTTAAGGTCACACATAAATCAATATAATTCAACTCATTTACTGAGATATTATGATGGAAAAATGTTGCCACTAGAAAAAAGAGAATCATTACCTGCAATTTTTTTTTTTCGTTTTTACTTGCTTTATTATAACAGCATTTTACGAAGCGCAAGCAATTTCTTGCGTTTTATTTGACAAATGCAGGGAATTAATTAAAAAAATGGCGGGTTGGAAACAGCGCGAAATCTAAAACTAG